GAATTAGCACTTTTAAAACAGAGGGGTTTATGGGATGCTATAATGGGTGATCTGTTTGGTATTTCGGTCGAAACACTTCAGAGATATGTTTTATAAATAACTGAGAACTATAATATATTGATGAAAAAGAGTATAATAGGGGACCTTTAAACCTGTCAGTCTTATATTCCCCGTGCTGGTATATTTTTTGCATTTGTAGCATTACTTATTGTATGTATTTGGCCATTTGATGTACAGTTGTTGAAGCTTATTGCCTTTGATTGTTTTTGACTATCTTTTACTATCTCTTGTGTTTGTTGGTCTGTGTGCTGCATATAATTGAACCTACATGTATTAATAGAGTTACATATTATTTCCGGTAACACTTTATATTAAGGTACACAAATTAACCATCAACTAGTTGTTAATTAGCATGCATATTAGCAGTATAATGGCTCTCTATTAGTCATTATACAACACTTATTAATGCCGTATTCTACATGACCATATTCTACAAGTAATAAGCCATTAGTTGAGAGTTTTTCCTCAATAACACTCTAATTAGTGCTTATTTATTGCAAGTAAGGAAGTTGTTGTACATGAGTTTTGGTCTTAATATGCGCTGCTTAATATGGGCGTAATAAGGCAGTAGTAGCACAAGAATAGTAATTCTCCCATAATAACACTTAACAAATATGATCTATTCTTATGGAACAAGACATGAAACTATAAGTGTTAATTGTGTCTAAATAACTCAAAATTAGGTATTTATATCTTATAATATGTTTTGGGTTATTGACAGTTCAGCTACCAATAGCAAGGTGATATTGACCTGTATGTTTCATATTTGCACATTTATATTTTTGTAAAATGTGTACTGAAGGTTAGACCCGGGTACAGGAAGTAGGAGAACGTGAACGGAATATAATGGCAGTAGACATCCATGAGTACACTGCCACTAATTTTCCCTATGCAACCTAAAGAGTAAAAGGGTCAAGTCCGTCAGAAAGCAATGACTGTAAGTGTAAGTGTGAGCCTTACACTGTAAGGATTAGTAACATGTATTGTGTTTATGTGATGACATGTGGAGATGTTTAAACTCAATGAGAAAATGTGTTAGCATTCGCGCTAGCGTTAGCATACACGGTAGCGTTAGCCATACTAGCCTGTATACATGCTGTACAGCTAGCATTAGCTATGTTTACCTTGTTTACACTAAGCGGCAGAGGTGGGACCAAGTCATTGTTTTGCAAGTCCGAGTCAAGTCTCAAGTCTTTGCGCTCAAGTCCAAGTCAAGTCTCAAGTCAGGATGGGCAAGTCAAGTCAAGTCCTAAACTTTGACAAAACGAGTCATAAACAAGTCATTATGTGTTTTTCACCAAATGTAATGACATCGATCAACAGAATAATACTTAATAATCAAATTGCTCTTTATTAGTCACATTAATAATTTAATAATCCATTTTCTCTCTGCTGGTAAAGTAACGTGTGTTTTTCTAATTTAAGAGGGATCCGTAAGATAAGGCTACCGTGACGGTTTGATTCAGAAGGAGTTTAATGTATAAGATCCCTGATGTTGAGGTAACCAGAATGTTTATTTCCACTGTGTACAACATGTTATAAGGGACCCACAATCTATCTTTATGCAAGGGATAATGTGCAGCGAGGCGGTCTCTATGGGGAAAAGAACACCTGAATCTAGATCCCTCTGCAGGTGGTACTTTAAGTATATGTTGATGCTAATACTTTTGTACTTTTACTTGTAACATTTTGAATGCAGGACTTTTTATTGTACAGGGTTCCTGCAGGTTTCGCCAACTCAAATTTAAGACTTTTTAACACCTTTTTAAGACCACTTTGAATATAATTTAAGACCTATTTCACGGCAATAAAGTATGAAGGAAAATGTATATAAAGAAGAAATACGTCCCATAATCACTTACAAAGTAAATGTATTCATGTTCAACATAAGAACAATGACTGAACACAACAGCGTAACAGTACAGAACTGTGTTAGCGTGTTAGACAAAAAGTGTGTATGTGTGTGCGTCTGTGTGTGCTTGAGTGTGTGTATTGTGTGTGTGTGTGTGTGTGTGTGTGTTAGGGCTGTGCAATTAATCATATTTTAATCGCAATTACGATTTTGGCCTGCCACAATTACGAAAACAACATAATCGGAAAAAACGATTATTTTGCTTTGCTAGATTGTGACAGTGCACCACAACATATTTTATCTAATGAATTTTTTAGTAATGTATCATTTATTTAATTAATTTTTGTATTAGTTTTTCAGTTGAATTATACGTTCAGGGTAATCAACAGTTAAAAATATACTGTTCAAATTATTATTTGTTTTAAAGTTCAATAAATGGATGTTTTCAAAGTCAATGAATAGGCCTAATCATATTTAATAATCGTGATATTAATTATTGACCAACATAATCTTGATTATTGCCATAATCGAGCAGCCCTAGTGTGTGTGTGTGTGTGTGTGTGTGTGTGTGTGTGTGTGTGTGTGTGTGTGTGTGTGTGTGTGTGTGTGTGTGTGTGTGTGTGTGTGTGTGTGTGTGTGTGTGTGTGTGTGTGTGTGTGTGTGTGTGTGTGTGTGTGTGTGTGTGTGTGTGTGTGTGTGTGTGTGTGTGTGTGTGTGTGTGTGTGTGTGTGTGTGTGTGTGTGTGTGTGTGTGTGTGTGTGTGTGTGTGTGTGTGTGTGTGTGTGTCTGTGTAGTGTGTCTGTGTCTGTGTCTGTGTCTGAGAGAGAGTGAGCTATATTCAGAGCTCTGCTGCCTTGGCTACACTATTTCATCGTTGCTGTTGTATGATTGGTGTTTAGCTACGGTATTTAGCGTCTACAGCACCTCCGCTTTTAGGGTTGACGTAGACCCAAACTTCGCCCGGAGGTCCCCCGGTGTTGTTGCGGGAGCTGCTGCACTAGCTAACACTCCACTAGCTAACGCTACATTAGCAAAACAAACGCTAATTTATTTTGCAAAAGGTGCAGCGGGCTTCAAACACGTTCCCTCCACTGGTTTCAACCAAGCACTAAATTAGATGTTTTCCAACAAAATACGGTTGAACTGACACTTCCCCATATTTATTTGTAAGTAGATTCGAAGATAGGCTACATGAGCTGAAGCTTGGTTGCTAGGTTACTAGCTGGGTGTTCTCCAATAAGGGGCCGGGGGAAACAAAGTTAGTGATTACTGGTTCCATGTTGATTTAATTCAATACAAATTGTTGGGGGGAACTGAAAGGCTATTACCGTACTGGTTACTTGGCAGCCCGGACATTTCCCCCAAAACACATTTAGACGCTATCGCAACATAGAAGTATCTTTCAAATCCGATAATTTTTAAGGCCTTAAAAACCCTGCTCTGAAGGTTATTTTCATTTTACAAATCCTGCACTCAGCTTTGCTTTCTCCAATATCATTGAAAAGCAGCCAGATGCTGCTTCTTTTTTTGGTTTTCGCTCATTTCTTGACTTTTTCCGACGCGCTTGCATTTAAATCCGTCTCCCCGTCGCTCTGTGCAGCTGGCCTGTACCACTACACATGCTGTGCCCCCCACCCTTCTTTCACATAATGGTATGATCCTAGTGTGTCCTCGCATATGATTGGCCGCATGGTGGGCCAGCTAAATAAAGACCCGCCCCTGCCTGCAAGGATTCTCAGCAAGAGTAGGAGCGGCTGAAGATTCTGCTTTCCCCGACGGGAGTCTGCTCTTCTAGCGGCAGCTCGCGATCGGCGTGTTGGAGACCTCTGAATTAAAGTAGCAAGTCACCTCAAGTCAGAAGGCTCAAGTCCAAGTCAAGTCCAGAGTCATTGGTGTTCAAGTCCAAGTCGAGTCGCAAGTCTTTTGTGATGTTGTCAAGTCAAGTCTCAAGTCATAAAATGTGTGACTCGAGTCTGACTCGAGTCCAAGTCATGTGACTCGAGTCCACACCTCTGCTAAGCGGTCCTAATGTGTTCATCTGTGTATGTTACACGTGCATGTATGAGATCATTAAGTGCCTTGTAACTTCGTTTGTTATAGTTTCACTCCGTTTGAATGTCACTGGACTGCAAATAAGTCAATAAAGGAGCATGGCTGCTCATTCCCTGGCTCTCAAAAGAGTTTGGCTGGTTTTTTAATCTATGTTCACACTGAGACAACACAGAGAGAGAACAGTACACCTATTGTGTAAGAACATACAAGCAGGTCACACAGTATGATCACAAATACATAAACTGTTAAAAATCAGTTTTTATTAAAAAGTACAGGCTGCATGTGTGTTCTCAGCCTTGGAGAAACTTGACATGTTTTGGTACATGTATGTGTCTGAACCTCTCTTTAGTGGTTCATTAATAAAACAGATATTTCAACGTGTGCCTACTTTGTTCATGTACTGTTGAGGTTAATTTCAGTAGTTGTGTGCTATAATGTATTTACAAAGTGTGAAGAGGAGGCAACTTTAGAATAGGGAACCTGTTCTGGTCAATTAGAGTCAAACTAATAGCTTATTGGTTATGAACAAGACTTCACTTTAGAATAGGGAACATGTTCTTAGATATAAATAGCTAATTTTGAGTTGTTTAGACTTAATTAACACTTGTAGTTTCATGTCTTGTTCCATAAGAATAGATTATATTTGTTAAGTGTTATTATGGGAGAATTACTATTCTTGTGGTACTACTGCCTTATTAGGCCCATATTGGGCAGCGCATATTAAGACCAAAACTCATGTACAATAAGTTCCTTACTTGCAACAAATAAGCACTAATTAGAGGGTTAATGAGGAAAAACTCAACTAATGGCTTATTACTTGTAGAATATGGTCATGTAGAATAAGGCATTCATAAGTGTTTTATAATGACTAATAAAGAGCCAATATACTGCTAATATGCATGTTAATTAACAACTAGTTGATGGTTAATTTGTGTACCTTAATATAAAGTGTTACCTTATTTCCTTAAATTAAAGTGAGTTGAATATAATTGGTAGTTACTTACACAACTTCTGTGGCATCTTGTTCTTTCTTCAGGTCAAGAGTTCTTTGTGGGCCTTTCTAAGCGGACCAATCAGAAAGGAGCAGAGATCCTAGCAGATTGCTTTAAGGTGAGTTTTAATGGTGTATTTGTGTGAAAAAGGTCCGGATCACAATTAATACTTCGTAAAAGTAACTGAACCTTGCTGAAAATGACTGCAGTAATTGTGTATTCAAGCGAAGCACAGCATAAATAAAGAACATAAGTCCTTAAGATATCTTTAATGGATTTAAATGGTCTTAACTTGCATTAAGTGATATTTATAACCAATTTGGGGCAGCACTACTAACAGTAAAACAACTCATATAACGCCTCATACAATTTAAATGGCGAACATGTTGCCTATTTACACATCTGGAGATACATTGTATCATTATTATTTAATTGGAGTTTGGCATTATTCTATCCGCTATATTTTGTTTTCCACCTAATCCTGAGGGCAATATCTAACTCTTTAGTAGCTAAATACTATTTTATTGTCTTTCTGCCGTCTTTAGCGTATAATGGGTTTTTAAAGTTTTTTTGTTGAAAAAATGTGCCTGCTGAAAATGACACAGAACGCTGAGTCAACCACAATAGTTTTTGGTTGGTTACACCAATACAATGAGCTGAACAACTTTGTTATGTATTATAAAATACAGAAATGTATTGAATGTGTTGTTCTGGGCACTAAATGTAAAATAGTGAATACAATTCTTGCCATGAATATCCTTTCTTTAAAGTATACAACCACCACTCTACCTTCTGTAGCCTCTTAAATGCACAAGCGTGCTGCGAGCAATCATACATCCGAAACACGAAACTTAGAGATAAATTGGTTATCAATCATAAAAGCCTCAGGATAGGAAGATAACGGCATTATCTCTCAATTTATCTTGCTTTATTCATCCTCTTCTACCCACTGTAGGCTACTCTCAAATCCCATTTACTCCTTCATCCATCTCTGCCGCACTGCAGCCCCTGCTTCCTGTCCATTCATTCACCTCGGGCCTCCATTTCTTTCAACTTCCAGTTTGTGTCAAGGCTACACTGTCTAGGTCAGGGGTCTGCAACCTTTTTGACCAAAAGAGCCATTTGTCCACCAATTGTTTTTGTCTGGAGCTGCAAAACATATTTGATAGCTTATAAAGTTGTATTTATTGTTATCATAGACAAAAATTACAGTTTTTTTGCATTTATTATGTATTACATTATAGAAAACTGTTTCCTCTAATAAGAAACAAAGAACTCTTATAAGGAGAATTAAAATACACAGGCCTACTTTAAAATAAATCAACACAGCACTTGGAGTCCTCTGCACATTTGAAGAAAATTAATATAATTAAAATGGGCCCACTTTGAAATAAATAAAACATATAGCTGCACCCTAAAAAGAGTTAACTGATTGAATTATGACTGAAGATCATCAGCTGTCTTCCTCTTCCATTTTTTTCCTCGATACGTAAAGGCTGCAGCACCTTTGACAACTTCTCTCCACATATCAAACATACCGGTAAGCCACCATCGTTTGCTTGAAAGCATATAACTCTGCCCACGCAGAATTAAATCCTGTGTTCCTCCGATACTTTTATTTTCATTGATTTATCCATAGTTCCCTCATCGAGTCGGGGGTCAGGTTATTCGCCTATAAGTAATGGTGCTGGCGCGGGACCGTAGCAGGATGTGACGCATATTTTAGTTGACATAATTAAAACCGTTTTGTTTTTTATTTATGTGTCACAGTTAGGGTTGGGAACCGAAACTCGGTTCCAGATGAGAACCGATAAGAAAATGCCGGGTACCCATACAAAATACACAATTTCGGTTCTGCTTAACGGTTTCTAAACGTGGTAGACCCTGTATTCCACCGGGTCCGTCTGCACCGCGGTGACCCGGTGGAATACAGCCAGGGTTCTGGAGAATCACAGAACGGCCGGTCGTCAGCGGGCCGTTGACGGCCGGCTTGGTACGCTGACGGCCGTAACCGCCCTTCATTTTTTTAAACGGCATCATGTAAGTTGCGGCGACAGAGGTCCACAGTTTCCCCGCAGTGAGGCTCCCCCGCCCTCCCGTAGACAGTTCACGAGCTCAGTCACTTCATAACACCAAAGATGGATTGCGGTAAACGCTCTAAAGTGATGCTCCACTACACTAAAAAATAAAAAGACAAGGCACTAGGGCTGTCACGATACCAACATTTTGGTTTCGATACCGATTCCAAGTCAAGAATTGCGATTCCGATTCTTTTTCGATACTTTTCTTAAAAAAAGGGAAACAGTCTTAAATGTAATTATTGTGCTTTATTTCACACCAGAACATAACACACACTTTTAAACAATAAGAACAATAAACAAAATAAATGACAATAATTCATATTAAATCAAATTTAAGCATCATCTCAAACAACTTTTTTGTTTTATAAAATATATATTTTTTTATATTTTATTAACATGTACAGTAATATAAATAATTATTGACAAAATGTATATTGCAGATGTTAGCCACATTGGTAAGTTAGCTAAAAAGATAGCCATATTAGACAGTTATCATTGCCATTAATTGCCTCGTCAAACTACGAAAACGTTCGTTTGTCAAAAAAGAAATTACACTTATTTGACTTAGATTTGAGGGCATGGGCTTGAGCATGATGTAATTATTTTATCTATCACAGGGGTTCCCAACCCCCGGTCCGCGGACCGGTACCGGGCCGCGGAGGTGTTACTGCCGGGCCGCGAAATAGCTGTGAGTTTATCGTAATATTTGCAGAATTATAAATATATAAAAATATTTTATCATAAGATTTTTTTCAAAAAGTGTTTAATGTTCGCACCTATACCAGTCATATTATTTCATCCAGTAGCCTAGTTAATATTTCACCAGATAACCGTTGAAAATGGCTTTTATGATGTTCCGAGGGATTCGGCGGCTCAGCCTGGGCCCTTTCTCATTTCATCAAATCCCCCTCCTCGACTCCTCGGTCCTCCGGTAGTGAACCGGAAATGAATTTCAGCGTGCCATGTTGAAGGACATCTCATTTCTCTAAATGCACTTCGAGGACCGAGGATCGAGCGTCGAGGAGGCTCTCTGGAGGAGCTATAACCGAGGATACACTGATGGGTCCTCCACGGCTCCTTCGTGGAGAAAATATATATCACTCAGTATAACAGGCCTACTCTTTTTATTTGCTTTAGTTTAGTAGATATCTACAAACAAAGAGTCCATATTTTCTAAAACCATTTAGTGCTTCACATAATAAAATACACAACGGCTGTTAGGCTGTTAGCTGTAGGTGCGTGTGTGTGGTACAGTGTGTGCGCAGATGCAGTGGACAGACAGGTCTCAGTTGGTTTGGTGTCCTCTGCTTACTTTCAATACTTGTAAATAAAACTTTTGGCCCGTAATTTATTGTCCTCATTGTAGCGACCAGAGAGGGGGGGGGGGGGATATATCCAGTCTCTGATAGTGTTACTTTATTATGAGAGTGCTCTGTTTGATTCTGAAATTGTATATATTTATATAAATATATATGTGTGTGTGTGTGCATTATCACTGTGAATGAATCAAAGTAAATATATAAGTGGTCATGAACACATCTGTCCATCAGACAGAGGGCTGCTGTGCCTCCCGTCATCATTAATGGACGTCTCTTTAAAATGACCGCTCAAAGGAGAGGAGTTCTCATTTCTCTAACCGCCTGCTGCTTCCCCTCCTCTCTCCTCGGCTCGCATCTCCTGTGGGCGGGACTAAGTCTCGAGGATAGGAGTCGAGGAGGGGAATCGAGGAGGGGAGTTAGAGAAATGAGAAAGGGCCCTGGTCTCAGCCTCTTGTGCGCACGAGAAAGTTACCGGTGCGCCAAGTAGGAAGAGGTGCGCACAGGAGACAACCGTTTAATTGCAGACTGTTGTGTTTATGTGGGAAAATGGCAGTGCATACATTATTTGAGATATATTTCAAACTCGGACTTCATTTTAAGGACATGTCGGCCAGGGGTGTAGAGCTATATGTTTATTTTATTAGATTTTCTTTTTAATGACTGATTTTAAATGCCATTTTCTTAATGTCTTTCATTTTTTGTCATGTCTAGGAAACTAATAGTAAAAGTGTATTCTTTATGTTAGTTTTGTCATGTCCCTTTGCCCTGTGCTTTATGTTTATTCCCTTAATTAATCATCCCTCTCATTTCAGGCCTCCACGCTCCCCGCCCCCTTCTGTCTCCTGCGTCCTTGATTGTTTTCCCCGCCCTGATTGTTTCCACCTGTGTCCCCTTTACCTGTGTATATATTGTGGTAGCTTCCTCCTGTTCATTGTCAGTTCGTTGTCTTACTATGACCCACGGTCCTGATTACCTCACGGACTTCCCACGGATCTACCTCATTGATCACTTGCTAGTTTTCCTCGAAAGAGTATATTTGTTTTCCTTGTTTTGATTACTGTGCTAAATTCCAGTAAAGTCTTTATTTTTTGAGAACACTATCTGTGTCGTGCAATTGAGTTCATGCCTCAGAGTCCCTCCTTGACATTTTTGTAAAGCACTTTGAATGGCCTTGTGTTGAAAAGTGCTATATAAATAAACTTGCCTTGCCTTTGTTTAAGCACCGGATTGGCAAAACAGGAGAGTAAACCAGTCTGCCTTGATCTATGAATTCATGTCCGGGACTCTCACGGTATCTGCTGCCCGCAGCTGTTTTATAGAAGGAAAACCTCCTTCACTTCATGAAATGGCTGCAGGCAGCATCAGGAGGCAGCGGGACGTGTAACTCCGCTTCTGAGAAGTGCAGCACCAGCGCGCCGAGAGCTGTGCCTTTTTACGCACCGCCTTCGCTGTGTTTACCTTCATCAGAACAGCGAGTGACTGCAGGCTGCTACGTGTTAACCACACACATCTCTACACACATCGAACTGCCCGATTACTCCTCCTTTTATTAGTTTTATGAAGGAGATGTCCGGTCACCAAGGCGCATAGTGTGTGTTAGGGGTGTTGAAAATAATCGTTTCTACGATGCATTGCGATGCGGACGTGGACGATTCGGTCTCGATGCAGTGACGGAAGATAATCGGTTATAGCGTAGTAACGTTGCTTCCTGATTTTCC